GCAGCATAGTCTGGTCAGTGCCACCAAATAAGCTTATTTTCTCCCCAAGACTCTGTCTGTGGTTGGAGACTTTGGATGGAAAGACGAGGGAAGAAAATGCTTTTAAGTATCCTCACCAATCACATCTTTAGAAGGTTTTTAAAATGAGAAAAGAAAAAATGAAAGATTATTATTGAACTCTTCTATCCGTGAATATTTTAAATTTTCTTCGATTAAAATGAGTCTTGCAGAAGAATTTTAAACACTCAAACACGGAAAATAAAATTTATTTATTATCCTCTATATTTTCCCTTTCTTTGATTCAATCTCCTCTTTTCCCTTCCAAATTTCCAAATGGACCATTTTTTCCGATCTTTCTTTTCTTTTTCTTTTTCACTCTTAAAGTTTGCAGTTTCAAACTGCCATATACAGCTGTTTTTTTGGCAAAGGTAACAGGTTTCCTGGATTCCATCAACAGTGCATGCAATCTTTCAGGAGGTAGGATATTTATACTACCAAAATTTTCTACTATCATATCACTACTATTTAGCTGGATGAAGAGAAAGAAAAAAAAAATAATTTTTAAATTCAATAATAATTAAAATAATAGTAGAGTAGTAATAGAAGAATTTGGTAACATGAATATCCTAAACTCGTCGTCGAGTTCGTTTTATTGTACTTCTCTATTTTCCCTTTTTATGTGGTTAAGTGAAGTACAACTTCAAAGTACAAAACTACAAAAGCAAGTACGAGAGTAAAGTTCCTGTGGATGACATCAACTACCCATGTGACCACAAAAAGTTTTGTAATGGGTCCATAGACATGAAAGGTGGACCACACATCAAAATCCGTTTCTTTTACTTGTATTTTGGACAATTAGTACTTTCTATGTTGTCTCCAACAAAGATAAATCATCGTGTTGTTCGTCACTTGGCAACACCTCAGCCCACAAACGCACCTGTTCCTCATAGCTAGCCAACCAAGATTCTTTTTTATTTTATTTATGGGTTTTGATTTTCTCATGCGTTGGGAGAAAATTTTCTCATGTTGTAGACACATCTTATGTAGGACTTATATCTATTAAAAAAATAAAAAGCAAAAGAAAATATTGTACGAAAATCGAAGGATCACTAATATAGAAGAAAACAACTCTCCTATAACATGACATGAAAAAATGTTTCCCCTTTATTTATTTATTTATGTATGTATTTTATTTTATTTTTTATTTTTGTTTTTATTCTTCGTTGAAATTTTCTGCTCCGATTCTTGAACCATGGATTCATCCTGCTCTAAGAATAACAAACATTGATAAATTGAAGAAAGAGCTAATGGCTAAATCACTTCAGCAGACTAAAAATTATTATGTGAGCAATAGAAAATAAAATCTGGAGATATAATGGTAATTAGCTTAAAAGAATGCGGATGCATTAGGGACTAACGTTTATACCTCCAAAAAAAAGGGACTAACGTTTACTACAGATATGGCTACCCCTTTATAACTATATTTCCACCATGGTGAGAAGAAAGACCAAACTACAGGAATCAAGAAAACCAATACCATTCTTTTCCTAGGCAGATAAATGAGATAATTCTACTTCCAAAATATATATATATATATATATATATGTATATATATATATAGGGATATATTTTTCTTATGTTGTAGGAAAAGAATTACCTCATGTTGTAGAAATAAAAGTATAAGTGGGACCCACATGTAAGAGGAGAGAGAGAAAAAAAAGTGGTGGGACCCAACCCTTTTTGTGTGTGTAGGAGAGATGTTTATCTCATGTAAAATGAGATAAACATAACCCATATATATATATATATATATGACTGTGAGCAGAAGAAACGTACATGCCATTCGTATGGAAACTGTTTCAGTCCCTGATAAAACAATTAATATACCCTCCGCCAAACTAGATATATCCCAAGTATTATGTTAAACAGAAACATAGAACCTCAGAAGATTGGTGGTGTCTAGTAGTTTCTAAAATTTTATCACAACCACTTAGGGGAGAATGGGGACAAGTGTCCACCCTTAAATATGATGTAAAAATAAAAAATAAAAAATCTTAAAATTTAAGTTTTTACAATTTAATTTTGGGGTAGGATATTATAACAATCAATTAGGTTACTACAAATGTTACTACCAATCAATTTTCAATTTTACCGTTAGAACGATTATGCTGATCCAAGAGTTATATTTATTTTCATCTTTGTATGGTTATGATTCTCATGTTTAATACTTTATATTTATTTTCACCTTTGTATTGTTATAATTTTCTATATTTAATGCTTTTACATTAAATATGTGGATCATAACCCTATAAAGATGAAAATAAATATAACCGTTGGATCAACTAATCGATCTAACGGTGAAATTGATTGGTAGTAACCCTAGTTGGTTGTTACAATATCCTACACCTTTAATTTTCCTCCTTTTAATTTATTTTCATGTGAGTTTTTTTTCTCCTCCACCTTCATTATCCAAACCTAATCTAGATCTAAACCAGATCGAGCCAGCCAGCAGCTGCTCGTAAATCACGTTTAAGATCAGACCTTATTGAGTGTCCACCCTTCGTTATTTTTTTGGATCCGCCACTAATCAGAAGTTGAGGCGCCCATTCAATAGATATATGGTGTCAACTTATTTGTTAATGCAGATCTTATTCTATATCTAGATGTTTATTATTATTTATTTATTATAAAAATAAATTAAAATAAAATAAAAAACCCTATACTTTGCTAGCAATGGTTGTTGACAGTAAATTTTTCTTAAAAGAATTAGCTCCTTTTATCTCCTCAAGCCTTCAGAGTTCAGACCTGTACAATAATACAAGTTCTAAAAACAAAATTGATAGATAACATAGAACAAAGCCGTATTCAATCTGATTTCATTCGAAAACAGCCTCCTTGTTCTGTCTCTAAATTTCAGAAGACTGTAATCCCTGGATGCTCACCTTACCATCCCTCATCTTGATAATTGATGTAAAAAATAGAAAATAAATGCTCAAATCTCCTATTCTCCAAATTAAATTCCTTCAAAGCAGAAAGGGTTATGATTAGATTAAAACAATATCCCATCCATATAAATGGAAATCACGCAATAAATTCCAATAAGAGATTATCAATGATAGGTAAGAAAGAAGGAAGCAAGATGCTGAGGGAATTTTTAAGGAAGGCTCAATAAAAGGAAACCAATGTCATCTAGTGCATATTTTAAGAAAACTAGTCACTGATACTGCATAACAAAGATATGGATGTTAATGCAGCCCCCGAATTAGAATGAGGATGATCAAATAAATAGAGCTGATTCAACATTTTGGAAATTAGATCATTATCACCAATTGAAAATGATGATAATAAGGCCTCACAAGCTTACTACCTGTCAATGTATCGACAAAGAGCAGTTTGGTGCTATAAAGCTCCAGCTATATGCAGGGTCCAGGGAAGAGTCTATAGGATCGTAGTCTTACCTTGCATTTGCAAGAAGTTGATTACTATATAAATCAAACCTATGATGTCCAAGACACATGACGACAACTTCAACCATTGTGATCAGGTTCCCTGTCAATGTAGAGACAAGAAGAAGAAAAAAAATGGTTTGGGAAGAAATCAGGCAGAATTATTTTACTGGAAGTAAGAAGATCCTTACATAATAATTCAAGCAAGAACAAAATGCCAATAGCTCAACCTAATCATAGTTCACCACCCACCAACAGTGAAAGGAGTTTTTGGGGGTGTAAGGGGAATTTGCAGGCACTTTATGATTAGACAAGCTTCAGCAATTAAATAAGAGAATAAGCTAACCATCATTTGTCATTTGACATAATATACTTCCATTGCTTCGTACTTGCCATATCTGCCCCGTTTCTTAATTAGGTTGACATCTTCCCTTCCAAGGAAACTGCATACACCTGATGCAATATGAATGTGGAAAAAATATAAATTATGTAATTCATCTCTGAGCGCACGCAAATACAACATTAAAAACGCACGCATGCATACACACAAGAGATGAGCACATATTCCCGCTTCAGATTTCCATTTGCCTTGTTGAATAAGAAAAAGGCATCCCTTCACATCAAGTTCATTGAATTACAAATGCTTTTACACCGAAAATGTTTGGCTCAGACTGGCAAAAGATAAAGACCCAACCCATAATTTCTTGGTCTTATATGGTTAATTAGATTGAAAACATTCTCATTGATTCGTATAGTTTTATAGAACAGAAGCAGAATGACCTTGATTATTGACAAACAGAATGATACAGCCTGGGTGATGCATTTAAACACTGACACAAACAAAAAAAAAGACATAATAAAATGAGAGAAAACGAGAAAAATGCTATTCCTACTTTCTTATGTTTTCTTTCCATGAGATTGGGAAGGGAGGATGCAGTGAGATATTGGCAATGTAAACAGGCTTTGGGAAGATCAGCAGATGATTAAATGTTGTTAGAGATATAATCAAGCCAATTCATGAGCATTCGCCGTTAACAACGTAAGCTTTTGGGAAGGTTATCCTTACATAGTATCAAAACCTATTAAATTTTGACACAATATAGCATTCGATTGTGCATTCTATGCGCTTCAAGCCTCAAAGAACTCTTGCATAAATGGGCAAGGCATGTTAGAGGTATAATAAAGTCATTTATTAGCCTTTCATAAATGGGCATGGCATATTAGAGATATAATAAAGCCATTTATTAGCCTTTATATAGTTAATTAAGCTTTTAGGAGAGTTAGTCCTTCACAATTGTCTATATAAAAAGGAAAAGTGAAAGTAAACAAAAAGAAACCCAGACCGATCATAATTATGCATTGCTTTAATTAAATTTATGAAAATGGACATCTTAACCCAATATATACCAGACCCAATTAAAAAAGGAAAAAGAAGAGAACATCAATCATTTGTAAACCTTCTAAAACTATATCAATAATTTTAAATTGGACCTGAAATTTCCCCCAAAAAGAGAGTGCAGACAGATATCACCCCATAAGCCAAAAACAATCACCTTAACATCCCATTACCGCACAGTTATATACAAAGGTTCCTGATTGCCTTCTGGCAAGCAGGTTCCACTGTACTGCACCTTCTCCTGGGACACAAGCATTAATATCAATCGTCCCTACACCATAACAAGTAGGACCACCAATAACAATTAGCCTATCTCCACATGCCCGAAAAGCTAATCCCCAGCCATTCATTGAACTTGCTCCCTCAGGAAGTCTTCCAATGATGACCCATGAGTTCCTGCCTTTATCATATCTCCTTACTTCCTGCCGTGCATAATCTGCCGCATACAATCTATTGTTCACCACAGCAACCAAAGGCGGTGCCTCAGTAGTACCGCGCCTCGCAGCCCCCTCAGCTCTTGGGAACATGTTGGGGATTTCGCGCCATTTTCTAGTCTTCAGATCAAACTCTTCACCACACGTTAGCAGCTCTAAGTGATCAACACCAATCCCACCAATGACATAGAATTTTCCATCCATGAACACACCGGAGCACATCTTCCTTGGTTTATTCATACTTGGAAGAGTCTCCCACGATCCAGTATCTGAGTTATAAAGCTCAGCCGTACTCAAGATAATGCCGCGAGGATCACAACCGCCGGCTAATATGGCTATGTGTCCAATACTGGCAGATGCGAACAAGCATCTGGGAAAATTCATCTGTGTACCAAATGTCCACACATTTGTCAAAATGCTGTATCTATAAATCACATGAGCCTTTATTTCCTTTCCAAATACAAGAAGCTCAGTACCAACTGCCAAAGACTCCTTGTCGGAGCACATGAAGCAGTGATTAGGTGGCATTGCAGGCAAATGCATCCATCGGCCACGATTGGGATCAAATGCCTCCCATTCTTGAACATTACAGGAAAAGTAAACCCAATGTTCTACAATTCCCATTTGTCGTCTGATCCTATACAGTTCTCCGCTGCGAATGAGATCTCGAAAACTCCTGTTCAATGCAGCAATTGAGCCATAATCAGACCTTGAGCATCTTAGGAGACAATTGATTGAGATATCCCGACCAAGCTGGTAAATAAGCAAACTTGAGTCTGGTATCTCGGCTCCATGATTTTGTTCACAATCGATATCCATCTGCATTTCCTCTTCCTCGGCATTATCAGAAAGTTTGCTTGACTTTCTCAACACAGCTTGCTGTTCGTCTGCTTCCAGTGGGCGCTTATTGTTGTACGGGACCTCCTCCAACATGTCAAAAGTCCTGCTTTCCTATCCATCAAAAATCAAAATTAAATATCAACTAATCAGTTCGATAACAGTGATTCTAACTCCACTAAACAAAAAAAAAAAATATATATATATATATATACACGGGGGCAGGATTTTTTGACATCTATTTAAACAAAAAAGTTTAACCTCAAATCTTAAGAGTTAGATTGCCGAAAATTCTAGAAGTTTCGGTGTCAAAGGTAGATATGGGATGAGATTTTTTGACACCGATATCAAACTATTTGACACCAAATCTTAACAGTTAGGTTAACATAAATCCTAAAAGTTTGACATAATGTGTCAAAGATATATACGTAGTAGGATCCTTTAATATCGTGTCAAACTAAAAAGTTTGACACCAAATCTTAACAGTTAAATTGGCAAAAATCTGACACCTGTGTTGAAGATATATACGGGGACACCAGTGTCAAACTAAAAAGTTTGATACCAAATCCACATTTAAATTGGCCGAAATCTTAAAAGTTTGACACTGGTGTCAAAGATATATATGGGACATATCCTTTGACAACGGTGTCAAACTAAAATGTTTGATACCAAATCCTAACAGGTAGATTGATGGAAATCCTAAAAGTTTGACACTGGTATAAAGTTTGACATAGGTGTCAAATAATCATCACCAATATATATATATATATATATATATATATATATATATATATATATATTTATTTGCCAATGCCAATGCCATATCAATTAGGAAAACAATTAACAAGACATTAGAACAATCTTCACCAATTACAGCTTTCTGCCGCAGATTGTGATGATGCATGCAGAATCGCACACAAATGCTTTCAGTGTTTAGCGCATTCACACAGATATCAGAGACACGGCTATGAGCATCAGAGTAGCAATACCAGTCTACAACGAACGATAGTCAAAATCGAAATATAATAAAATCACGACATGTGGCCCGAAAAAAAATGCAGAATTCCAGAATGGGAATTTAAGCACGAAAAAAATGGGGAAACTTTGAGAATTAATCAGAAAAAAAAAATCCAAACAAAATGACAACATGCATATCCAAATTCAAAGACAGCAGTATACCATCAACAAAAGAAATAAACTTTTTTTTTAACCCAAAAAAAAAAAGATCATTTATGATTTGCATTGGTTTCAATTCTACATACCCCGTTTCCCTCCATTTTTCAGTCCTGAAATCAGAAAATAAATAAATAAATCAATAAATGATAGCCATGCAGGAAAAAGTTGGAAAAGAAAAATAAAAATAAAAAGATCAACCAAACCAGAAAGAAAAAGAAAAAAAGCCTCGGAAGAAAAGCTTACGAATTTCGAAAAAAATGAACTGGGAAGTTGAACTTTCTGGAGCTTTTGATTCTTCTCCCCCCTCTGGGAGAGTAGATTCTCTCTGGTTAGAACTCGGGTGGTGTGGTGTGTGTGTTGTGCTATGCGAGCGCAGTGTGTAACTGTGTATGTTGCTGCTGTCAATAGTATCGTTTATTTATAGTACAAAAAAAAACAAATTAAATAATCGAACAATGTTTGTTTATTAATAATATAAAAAAGGAAAGTGGGGCCCGCTGTGGGCTCTGAGACTCGCGGTTCCTGTGTATCTCAAACTCACAAAACCGTTTCATGCACGTGTAGCAAACTCTGTTTACTCTCCTATCTGTTGTTTGTTTTTTACTTCTTTTTTCTCTCCTTCTCTCTTTCTCATTTTTTTATAATTTCTCTTCTTTTACACCTCAGATACTATTTCATCTTATTCAACGTTTTTTGTCTTCGCCTTGCCACACTTTTACTTTTTTATTCAAAATAATATTTTTTATTATGATTTCTTCTGCTATTTTCAACGATTAATAAATATGAGTAACTATGGAGTTTCAAAGGAGGAGTTACTTATGACAGTGGAGGGAACATTTATATTAAATAAATGTAAGTTTTTAATATCCCATTAAATTCAATATCACTTTAAGTCTACATTTATTCAGTCATCAAATCTTATCTTCCTGAGAATAAAATAATGATAAACCCTCTTAAAATAATAGTATTCAAATATTTTATTGATTATTTCAGCAGAAAATATTAATTGAAAGAGAGAAATCATTTAATGTCTTACAATTTAAAAATATTTTTTATTTATTATACTATTTAAGATGATATCATCAAACCGATTTATTATAATAATTTTAAAAAAATTTATTTGAATAAAATATTGGGCTCATTTATTGTAGAAGTTGACCATACAAGTAGGGGTGTAAATGGGTCACGCTAGCCCAGCCCGGCCTACATTGAGTCTAGTCCAGATTCGGCCTTTCAGAAAAATAGAGTAGACTTAGGCTTATAAAAAAGAAAATTTAACAAATAGACCATAGGCCAATTTTGTAAAGCCCGGTCTACAGCCTTGTAGGTTGGCCTATTTAATTTATTAAAATAAAATAATAAAATAATATTTATTTTATGTGGCAAAGTACCAAATACCAATACCAACCCTAATTTTTATGTGCACCGCCGCTTCTCACTCTAGATGCAAAGTACTAAATACCAATACCAACACCAAAGCATCCAGTAATTGTATTTTTCTCATTTTCCCCATTTCTTTGACTCTATTCCTTTATGATATACATTCTAGAGCTGGGGTATTATGTTGACTCTTTCTTGTTTGTCATTTTTTTCTTATGAGAAGTACTAGTGCGTGCATGAATGAAACTTTCTTTGTTTTATACAATTAATTTTTTTGCTTAGTATCTACAGTGGGAGGCCTACAAGGCCTGTAGGCCATGTCAGACTTTCTTATTTTTAAAAATGGGTTGGACTTGGCCTACAAATAAAACCTTTAATAGGCCAGTAGACTAGATAGACTGACTTTTTTTTTTATGTAGGCTTGAACCATGAAAGCCAAAGCCCGACCAAACCCAGCTCATTTACACCCCTAGCTGGAAAGCATGATAAAGAGGAAAAAGCGAGAATACTGCGCTTACAAAAAAAAATTAGCTTGTGATTGAATAAATTATTTTTCAAAGGTGTACTTATAGTTTATTTATTTTTTTAATAGAATATAAATTATTTTAAAAAATGTTCGTATAAGAAATTTTCTTTTAAATTTTTAAGAATATTAAATTTTTTTTTTTGTGCCTTTTTTAACAAAAAAAAATGCATCCAGTTATTTCAAAAGAATTTATGCTTTAGGGCTTCGCCCCTTAATGTTATCAAAAAAAAAAAATTGTGCATGTATTTAATTAAAAAACGTAAATACACAAAAGTAAATGAAACCTTAATGTTGATTCATTATTAATGTAAAATTTTATATTAAGTATTCAATTGGATATTAATGTATTATCATATCATTTAATGAGTTTGACTATGACAAGTTGAAAAGAATTAATTGGACATTCAAAAGATTTGAATCATGTTTTGATATTATTTCTTTTTTATACATGTGTTTTGATATTTATTAAGTTAATGATATTGAATAATATTTTACACTTATAATAAATTTAAATTAAATTCTAATAAAAATAAGGATAAAGTTTAAATACCTCACATGTGTTCCTTTTTTTACAATCAATTACCTCCCTTATCAAACAATAGTAAATGAAGTTCTATTTTTTTATCACTTACTTCCATAAAAACAAATAATGTTCTATTTTTTTATCAAATAAAGTTCTAACTGTTGAAGTTAATTTATTTTGATATGCAATCACAAGTAGTTAAACAATTGGTATTCAAAATTCAATTAATTTTATTATGTTTTAACAATAAAATAAAATAAAATGAATAACATGTGGTAAATACTTTATTATTACATGAAAATATTTGAATCATAATTATGTAATAAAACTTCCATACATTTACTTCCTAAGACTATTTTTAAAATACAATCATCTGATGTAGTTTCATTTTGAAGACTATATGGGATTGTTTTGGACGATCTTCTAATTTCAAACCTCTTGATATTAAAAGTCTACCCATTTGAAGCCAAATAAAATTAAAAATAATATTAATAACAAAAGCAGGGAAGATAAGTTATAAAAAAATAAAGAGGAGACGTATATGAATTTTATCGTAAAAATAACATACTTACTATTAAAAAAAATCACAGGAGAAAATGATAAAAAAAATCATATGAATAAACTAAAGGGTTTAATTGTTCTTATATTCAGTGGCGAAACCAAGAATTCACATTAGGGGGATGGGTGGACTCAAAAAATAATATTTATGTTCACATATTTAATGGTGGAGGTTCGGGAGCAGCGCTTCCAATTTTTTTTTAAAAGAAGTTTTAAATGTATTGAAAAACAAAAGATGTTACAGCAAACATATATACTCCATAAATTCTTTTGGATCATGCAGCCACTCTCTCAAGCTCATATTTGGCATGTATTCATAAAGCAACAAGTTTAAGGGCCACTTAACTTCAACATCAATTCAAAATGATTCCCTAGACAAAATAGTTATTATTCTCTATGAAAACTTTGTTGTACAGGTCAACTGAATAAATATTTTTATATTGATATAAGTTAAAAAGAGCAAATTTTCATGAAATTATTGCATCTTAAATGGTTAACAAATAACAATCCATATAAACTAAAGTTAACTCAAAATAGGAAGCAAGGGTCATCATTCTGCAACTAATTAAGACAAAAGAAGCAATATGGACACCATATATTTAACATAATCATAGAAAAAAATTTAGGAACCTTGCTTTACCACAAGTCCTAAATATTTTCCATTTTCTGACTAAAAGATAAAAAGACAGCTCAGATCATCTTAAAGTTCATTTCTTGGGGCATTATCAAATATATTATTACTCATTCAGTTTATAATATTTATCAAAATGTCATTTATATATAAATTTCTTTTTCTTCATTTTTTTTTTTGGGAGGGGGGAGCGCCCCTAAATCCGCCTTTGCTTATATTGTAGGCAGTGGCGGACCTACATATGTTTTAGTGTGTGCAAGTGCACACACAAATTTTTTGGAGAAAAAAATATATATATATAT